AAGTAACCACGTTCATGGTACATATACAATATACGATACCTACCTATCCTTATTTATTTTACATTTTTACATCAAATAATAGGTACAGCAAAAAAATACAACATATTATTATACATTGAAACTGAGAAAAAAATGTGTGTCAATGATTATAATAAGGTATTTAATTTATTTAGATTAATTATTTAATATTTTACAGACAAAACTACAAAAATAATGATAATTGAAAWATTTCATTTATTAAATTTCATGAAATTTTCAAACACTAATAATATTACACGATCGTGTATTAACGTCAGTGTATYAAAACACTTATTAAAATATTTACGTCCAATAAACTAAACTAAACATAATATATTAGTTATACGTCGTTAGCCGTTACAGATGATTAGACGATTAGCTCATAGAATCCCATAAAGTTATAATGTGTTTGGTATTAACGTTCTGTATATACAATATGTACAAAACTATATAAGCACGTTAACCGTTAATATCATATACTTTAGGCCTTGGAAATCATAAATTGAATGTACTATATATTTACTGCGGTATGAGTGTATACTGTATACGACCCGTCCCCGGAATGCACAAAATTTTATCTTGGTCCTAATTATTTTTTCTCTCTACAAAACTWTATATCATTATTCTTTATGATTTTTGATGAACGCCTTAAAGAAAAAAAAACCCGTACGAAAATCACAGATATTGTATAATATTATCATAGGATACCGGAAATATTTGCTTTATTTATATTGTTTTATCCTTGTGTTGTGTGCACCTGTTGTCAACCAGCCAAGGGATGAAAAATGTATTCCTCATGTTTTTTTTAATATTTGACATACCMAAAGGGTTAACATGTTTTAGGGTTGAAAATAAACGGACAATTAAACGTACGTCCGATTTGTCCCAGATGCTCGTGTGCCGGCATATCCGTCCCTATAGACACTCCCTGTATTATGTCATATTACCATTTCTGAGAGAGACTAATTAAACGCGGGAGTGTCTCTCTGTGGAGTATGACCTTTCCCATTTYAATATTAATATTTTACGCTCCACTACAGTGTACAGAAGTYTAAAAAAAAACAAAACAAATTGAAGACCCGAGATTATTATTATTAATTTATTACTATGAAAAGTTATAGTACGCATTGTAATAAAAAGGTGAATTTATTTCTTTAAACATTAATATATATAGTTGCCCATGCGCGTACACTATTATCATACACRTCCTAAGTTCTCTTGTACATAGTATACTTATAGGTACCTCTACAGCCATTTTTACATAATAATATGTGAATTATTCATCATAATAAAAAACCTCTGAAAAGTATTTACTGTAAAATTGAAAAATAGAAAGTTATAAAAAATKCATACACTTAAATAAAACAACTGAACTGAATTTGTGCAAAAACTTTAATCTCATAAATATATACGATTTTTTTTCGTAAGCCTGTGGGAACTGAATTTTGACACCCACATATTATATCATCCATTAATTTCACTTATAGTTCTAGCTACATGATGTTATTATAAACAACACATCATGAGTAATTTTGAATTTAATATATAGGTACCATACTACCGTGTTATATTATTTTATAGGAAATTGACTCTAAATGTTTATAACTAAAGAATCATTAGAAAAGTTCAGAAAAATAATACATAGTGTTATCAAAACGTGATTATTATTAACGGTTCCATAATTAAGTAGGTAATTCAAGAAAAATTATATTGGTTTTATACTTTTTTATAAGTCACTTCACAATATTTATGTGTTAWAATATACATATTTACAAAAGATTTAGTTGGTTAATGGTATTACTATAGAGTTAATCATGTACTTATTACTTTAACAAAGTTTTTTTTTATATTAAAAAAAATTCAACAACCAACTGAAACCATAAATATAAAATATTTACAAAAAAATAATTATATTTAATATATTAATTTACACTTATTATGTATAAATGTATAATATATAAATATATATTATTTTATTCTATACAATGATATGTTAATAGTAGATATTTAGTTTCAGAATTAAATACAAAATAAAATTCAGTTGTTATAAGTGAAACTATTGAATTAAAAATATGTTAACTCATCAAACAATTTAGGTACAAATGTCATATTAATATAGCCTGTCAATTATGCCACAGAAATATAGCAATTTTTCCGTGAACTAATGAAGTATAAATATATACAATAATATTATAGATAGTTACGATATTACTAATAAATGTCTAATTTAAAAATAAATATTTTACTTAAAAAAAAAGCAGAATCTTATAAAATAATTGCTTATACAATACAAATATTAATTATATTTTTTTTTTTTTTGCATGATCAATAATATAATGCAAGTATTATTACTATACATAGATTTAATATGTATATAATACTACGTCAATTCTGTATTATTTAGCTACAAAATGAGAACGAAATGTATTGAAGTGTATTTTATTCGTTTTATTTAAATTGTAAATCTTTACTTGCATTTTATCTGTTAAAAAATCGCTTTTAACGCTTACTGGTAGTTCAAATATTATTCKTCAGCACTTTAATATGTAAATCGTGTTTACCACAATTTTAAACTGATCTCAGATCTAATCGTTGATTTTAGTTTTTAACTTCTCTTTGAATTATACCGCTCAAACAAAAAAATAGTTATAATACTTCAAATTCAAATTTTAATCATAGATTATAGAAATATAAATGAAAAACTTATCAGTGTTAAGATTTCGTACTTTGATCTGAGTATTAATATATAAAGTATAAATATCTAAATATTTTATGTAGGCAGTTATTTTATGTTTATTATTATTAACGATATTACGAATACAACTAAAAACGAGTAACGATTATAAAGTTATTGAAAATTTCACGACTTAAGATATCATATTATTAATATTAATTATCATATTAATAGGTTAAACTTAAGGTTACTGGTTAGCTTTCATTTTTATACTATGGCTAGACTGTAAGCTACTTTATTTCAATTAGATATGTTTTAACAAATTATAAAACATATTGATATTAACGCTATATATAGGTAGTAGTATAGTAACTATATATAAAGATATAGTTGTATGGCATATGTATAGGTATATGTTACCACTTAAGTATATAATGATAGCTTCAATACACCTTGATTTAAATTTAAAGCGATAAATAAATATTCAAACTTTCTTCAATTTGTGCAAATTTTTATATTTATTATGCTCGAAAAAAGGTAAATTAATTACAATTTTTACATAATCAATTATCTCCAAAAGGATAGTTTTGTATCATAAGATATAAGAATATAGGTATACATAGTTAATAATATATATACATTAACAATATACTTTTTACATATGCATTATGMATATTATATTATTATTCATTATAATATGTATAGTACCTATTGTATATTTTTAGCAAGTATCCGCATGTATCTGTATAATTTGAATTTATAATTTTAAACAGGAATATGCATGATGACTTATTGAAATTAATTAGGTGCTTATCCATATTCAAAAATATTAATAATATTTACTATATATCTTTATATGAAACAATATGATATAAGAATACAACAATTACATTTTGTTCTATATAACACCATTATAACTAAGAAAACTAATCGATGTTTATTTTATTTATTTATTATTATTATATTATTGACAAATATATATTTTGCTACATCGTAAACTTAGTTTTTTCAATTAATATTATGGTTTTGATTTATTCAAAATTAAATATTTCAACTATGTTTAATTCAATGTTTAATATGTTTTTTAAAAAAAGAATAAAACTATATTAAGTTATTTTGATATTCGTATAATTTGTTTACCGCTATAGCTGCTACATTTTAATACCTATACAATTATTGAATTATCAATATAAATAATTGACTCTTTAGTCTTTATATATTTAATAAAAAATACGTAATTTTAAATAATATTTACCTCCATAATTGTCCAAGCGTTTTACTAAGCTCGGCATTGTGAAGTTGTGGATACTGATCGGCAAGCTTGCGACGTGCTGCTTGAGCCCAGACCATAAAAGCGTTCATTGGTCTCTTTACATGATAATTTTTCTTCTCTGTAGGAGGTCTAAAAAATAAAATGTATGTGTTATTAAGATATCCATTAATCATTTGTTGAAACAATTATAATGTATAATAATAATTGATCTTTAATTCTTTATTATATCGATCCATAAAACATATTATTATATTATATTGAGTTACTAAGACTTTAAACTAATTTCAAAGCGTATTATATTATGTACTATKATTAAGTACAAAAACGAAGATAATACAACAGTACTTATACAATATCAATTTGAAATAAATGAAAATTCGTAATAGATTTATAAACCAACATTTGTATGTATGAGATAAATATTATATATATATATTGAAATTTTGAATATAACCTATATAATTTCACGTAAGCAAATTATATTTTTACGTATAGATAAATAGTTATATTATATGCTAAAATAAACATTATACAATTATAATTTATAATTAACACACTATTCTCAAATTACACGTTTCCAGTAAAAAATAAAAACGTTTACTATTTTTATCAACATTATAAATTTCATATGAAAACCCTCAAAGTTATAGCAACTATAACGGTTCAGTTAAATTAAATGTAAAGACAGGCGACTGATAGTATCTTCCCTTGCGAGTTTCGACCGAAAATACGTATTGGTAGGTGTCCAAGACTCATATGTTCTCGAAAAGATATGACAAGACGCATAAACGCGTACGTAATTTGTATAAACATTACAATAATTAAGTATACCTACGCGATGGCCACGGTTCGTAAACGAAGAAATTACGAACTGTAAAAAAAAAGTGTCGTCTATTAATTACACAAAACATGCGATAAAATTAATTATAGCAACGATCGGCGCGGGCTTAATACGTCAAAATAATAATAATATTGTAATTACGACCTATCGTGATTTTATTCGTTCACGCATCGTTATGATTCGTTTTTACAAAACCACAATACATATTTCTTGAAAAACTATTATTAACACGATGAACATTTTTTAGTAACTTGATGGTAAATAATAATTGGATACTAATTTTAAAAAACTTACACACAAAATGCTTTTGTTTTACCCATTTTTATACCCATTAATCTTGTATGATAATTCTGCGATTTTCACGTCATACTTCATAAATACATATGATACGTCGTGTATTTTTAAATTTTACTTAATTCATAATAATTCACAATTAATATTTTAATCGTCATAATGATTCAAATATGACGTATTACTTAGATTATTTTTATTTATAGGTAATATTACTCGTATTTTCATCATAAGTAAACGCCATTACTCATATTTTAGGCCTTATAGATAATATAATATTATTCTCCTCGTGAATTTATATTAGTACACGAAGAACGGTTAAAAGTTATCTCGCATGACAATGTGGGATAGAACTTATACAAAAAATGTTGMGAAGACATCCTACTCCTTATTTTTCATACACGAATACCTATATATATATAATACCTACCTCTTTTGAGTTTTTAAATTTCTTCTTGATATTTGTACTAGATACTATATATTGTTATAAGTAACATTACTATTTTATAATAGAATTTCATAAATTCTTTACCTTTTTAGCTTATTTGCATTATGTAAAAGAAACTATAAATGTATAACATACTCTTATTTTCTATTAGGTTGTTAAAAAACAATGAGAAAAGCTTAGATGGTTAATTATTGAATTCTTTATAAAATAACTTAATATAATATACACTATATTATATTTAAAATATAATCCTCAGATTTTTTTCTTAAAAACCGCTGCTTAAATTTCTCTTCTTAAAATTGTTTAGACATTGTTTTTATTAACCCCCACATATTTTGTTTATTTAAAGAGTATATAATATCGATTTAAAAAAARAAAAAAACAATTGTACATCCTTTTTTACTTAATGGCAGACACGTGTGGTTTGAATGAAAATTCACTTTCGTYCTTTTCACCACAGGGTTATTTACGATTGACCGTGGTTTGTGTTTGATGTTTAAACAAAAATTAGCTGACTGTAGCGTTTGAAATATTGATCATCATGACATGACACTAGGCGTCAGATAAAATTAACAAATATTTTTATAATTTTTTTTTTCGATTTAGATTTGTGTTTGGGACCTCGTAGGCGTTGGATCATAAAGACCGCTATCAGTATAGTTATGCTGATATTATTTTTTTATTATAACATACACTTTACTTAGATATAAAACTAATAGCCTATCGAATTAGATTCCATCCACGTTGTATGTCTTACTAAAGAACTTCCGGCCGTCCCTTATCTTCCGGTAAGACGGACGTAAAAAAAAATGCCGCCAATGTCGTCGGCAGAAACTGTTAACATTCCTTAATGAATCCAACTAGAGCATAATATTTACTTATCAAATATTATGAATACGCAGGTCTTCATATCGCAAATATGCATTTATTATTTATTTTTAAATGTATATCTGTATCCGTAAACGGATATCTTTGAAAAAAAATGTTTCGATTATATTGTACAAATTTTATTGATGGTTATAATTTATTATATTATAAATATTTTTTCTATAAAAAATGAATTAACGAAAAACAATACTTCAATAATATGTATGATAATAACTAATCGATGATTAAACAATTGTTTCCGGGGTTAGTGGTTTTTTATATTATACTATAAAATAATTTATAAAAGAAATTAAAATAATAATAACTTTTTAATTGTATCAAGATATTATATAATTTTATACTCAATGAGAAATAAATGCAGTTACCATATAATACCTTTTAAGTATTATGGGTACTATTATACTATTATACCTTTATACTATTTAAAGTTAAATAACATCATAATTTTTTTCCTTATTCCACACCCGTTTAAATTGCATTGATAGAATATAATCAAATGTACCTACATGCCATCAATATTCATCATAGAAGTATAATAAACAATTAATCATTTCAATTTTGTACGAACATTGGCAGAATCTTTTAGGTAGGTTTAAATTTAAATTTAAAAACATCAGCACCAGAAAATGGATTTTAAATTTAATCGTTTAGTGTATAATAGGTATAAAGAAAAAAACGATTCTACACGGAGTTCGCATTACCAAAAATGGTAGATTTTATTTATTTTTTTTTAAAAACAATTCCATAGATTTATTTTACTCAACGTTATTTTTTATGTTTTCGCAATTTATTCAACAACTAGAAATTTAAAAAAAAATTACCCTAAAATACAATATATGTTGGGGTTCTGTAGAAAACTTTTTTAAGATTTTCTAATGACTAAAAAAGTGACTTAAAAAGAAAAAACCTCATTTTACCACTTTTTATTTATCCCTCTTTTGAACCATTTGTTGTATAAAATGTCATCGTAAGTTAAAATATKAACTTTTCGATACGTTACTCTCAAATTATTTAGTAATAAAGTATAAATTACTTGGGTTTAAATTTAATGAAAATCTTACGTGACACTTACGATGCACCAACAATCTACAGAGAAAATGGGATTAGGAAACCCTTTTAATCCTTGAATATCCATTAACCCTAGCAAGTAATGTATTTTCTACAGCAAAAATAGAAATTTATTGATTTTGAATKTATGTATTACATTATGGCAATGATTATTACTATTGTTTTTTTCAAATTTAAGAATTTTAATAAACTTTTTTTTATTAATGCATTTATGAGTTAAGAAAAAATATACATGAGTTTAGCAAAAAATTGAACCGAAGGTAATCCTTTGGTAGATATAATTTTGAAAAATGCTGACGTAAACTTATGGATAGAAGGGTAAAAAAATCGAGAATCATCTATTTGGACTACTGGGGTAGGCTAGAAGTAACACTTCTTGTCGAACAGAGCACAGACAAGAGATGGATTTATAAGTGGTATGGATCTATTTTCGTGTCAGGTCGTTAGGGTAGTTTTACAACAACAAATTTTCTACTCACACACTGACACAATCTTTCACAGCTTTCAAGAACATATATTTTCCGAGTTACCCTTGTCAATCCCAAATTAATGTTGAACATGCATCTTGATTTTTAATATCTTAATGCTAGTGGTRAATACTTAAAAATATATTTAATTAATAATGTTGTTATGAATGTTTTACTATAGAAAATTAGGTACCTTTGAATGTMCTTATAGCATTAGTATTAGTATTATATTTTATTTTAAAATATATATATTTCATAAAAAATGTAATCAAATTGGTCAAGAGTCTTGAACCAACCAATCCCTAATCTTGATTGCAATTAAAAGCATATAGGCAAGTATTAAGTTCTTGGTTTGTATAACATAGAATACAATATAGGTATTTTAAATAAAATAATATTATAATRTTATTGCAATGAAGATACATTGTCATTAGCGTTTTTTAATGGTGTTAATTTTTATAAGTTAACAAAATAAAACCAATAAATATCAGTAATCTTATAAATATGTCTAATATTCTTAAACAATAAGAAGTTTAGTAAATTATATGGTTAAAAGTTAAAATTAAAAATTTATAAAACCACGATGCTATGCGTGTTATGTTGGGTACWCATGTTATGCTACCTACCTAAAATAATTCAAATACAATTTGAGTTTTCTGAACTCATCTAAACGGAAACGTTAACATTGTGTTCAGGATGATTTACAGTTAAACTACAGCCGTACAATATACATAGAATAAGAATTTTTTTAGTCTAAATGTGACCTCGGAATTTTACCAGGCCAAAGGACCGTGTTTACGACGTCATTATATAATATACAATAGGACTAGTATTAGGATTCAACAATCGAGATTATAAAAGACAAAAAACAAACATACTTGGCAGGAACCGGCACCAGAGTCCAATCGTATCCACCCAAAACTTTGCTCACAGCGTCATTTATCTGCTCGTTGTCTTTCAATGCATTGCTCATCGCCGCCTTGGCAGCGGCCGTTACGCTCGCTGCCGCACTGGCTGTAATAGTGACCACTGGTTTACCGGATGGACCGGGTGATTTTACCARCGAACAGTTCATGATTAAAATATTTATAAAACAAAAAAATAAATCTAGTCGGGTACACAAAATGTCTAGAATACAATATGATGAACGTACGAAATATCAAAATAACTAAAATAATGTATATAATCCGTTGGGCCGATCGAACTAACACAAACCAGACGGGACCATGTACTGTTGGACGGAGATCATGTCGGCTCGTCTCGTATAGATCTTATCGTAGATCTTTACTCCCACTACGCTAGACCAGGCGGAGCGTAACAGAACTCGCGCGGACCCCTGCCCCCCTACCACCACTTAATTGCACATTGCTTTTTTCACGGAGCACTTAATTTGATATATTTTTGAAATTCCTTTAAAATCAAAGTAAAAATAACAAATTATAAATATATAATAAAATAAAACAGAATCAACAATAATCCAACAGGTGAAGGAAGGGTTTCACAGTTATGCACCTATAATAATATAATATAATCGGAAGGTGAACCCATAAAATTAATTTACTTATTTTATTTTTATTTTTAACMGATGGYTTCCTTTATAATAAGACAAGTAATAACATAAAAAAAATTAATTTCATGATGGGTCAATATATAAAAGCGACTGATAACATAGAAGTACCAACTACTACGTAGGCAATATTTACTACATACTATATTTGACTTTCAAATATATATATTTTATAAAATTATACCGCTAATAATATTATACACATACTTGTTTATGCAAAGCGTTTGAAATTAACGATCGTCTAAATTAATGCATTGCGAATATATAATACATGTTATATGCAAATTGTATTTTTCTTCTGACAATGATACAGTGTTTTAGGGTCGCGCATTAATTATTTTCTTTATGAGTTATATACTAAAACGTCTAAAACTCAACATTATTACTATTATTAATTAAATAGTAACACACAACGGCAAGTGCGCATAAGGGTTAAACGAAATAACAAAGATTACACTAAACACTTACAATATTGTATAGGTAGCTTAATTTATATTTTTAACAATTGATATTATTACCTTGTGGCTTGTAGTTACAGTATAATCAATTTCATTGGTGTGAAAGAACACGAACAATTATAATATAATCTTTTTTTTTTTACAATGTTTTATCCAATTTGTTTCAAAAAAGAACAACTGGGGCAATAGGATTATACAATCAACTATATTTTTCAACATTTGCTGAGAACTATTTTTACCTGGTTACTATACCAATTAATAAGTACCTGGGTAATAACGAAAAAGGGTATATTARTTATGAATTTAAATTTAAAAAATATCGAATTGGTATATCTACTGTGTGAATCACAATATTTAATGTACCTTTCCGTACCTAATAAATACTAACCTAACATACATATTGGCTTCAAAATCTATATATTTACATAGTACAATTGGATTTAGATAGACACATATATATTGAGGCTTATATTATATGCAAAATTATAAATATGTACCTAATATTTTCAAGAGATAAAAGCCATCTAATAGTAATTTTAAAACTATTTTATAACTGTATTTTATTACAAAGTATTTTCATTTTTCAATGAGTTTTTGCCTTTTGAAAACTTTATTAAATTAACTAAGCAAACTTTAGTTTTAAAATTTAAAGWTTACTTATAGCATGTACCTACCTATACATTATACAGCTCATCTTCAATATTTGAAGTTACAAATTACTTTTTGAATCATCATCAATATATTATAATATTTTTATTTCACGAATCTTACTTTAAGCCTAAMTTGCCATTGTCAGTATAAAATACAAACTATAATTAATATTGGAATAAGTTTTTTTTAAATAATTAAAGTTAAACTAAAAATTATTCTTTCATAAGTGATAAACTAGAGTACAATATTAAACTCATTTATTATTCCAAGTTCRCAAAAAAAAACTTTTATTAAGTCTTAAAAAAAAAAATGTTCCGATAACTTTCAAGGACTATTTTTAAATTGTTTTGATGACCGAAATATCGAAATTAATGTTAAAATATTGAAAGGTTATGTACTTGTATTTATAAATTTATAATGTAAAATGATCTTTTAATATATATATTGTTAAATTTATTTTATGAATATATTTATAATCGTATTAATTATTTACCTATTACTATTTGTTTTCGTATATTTATTTTTCATTTTTTTATTATTTTTTTTTTTTATTGAAAATATTTGATATCAGCATCAAAGACCATCAGTCACACTTAGTATACACAATTTTTTTTTTTAGATTTTATTATACAGAGTGGTTTTTTTTAATAGAATTTAAGAACCCGTGCGATGGTGGTAGCGTGCGGTCCGAGAGCTGCGTCCAACGTGATGGGTACGTTTGAATTTCTTCGTTCATSCGTAAATTGGTGGTATTCTGTGATTATTTGGAAGAGAAGTTCAGTTCCACAAGAAATGCACAGTGGTTTTCTTTCCTTTTTCATGAGTATTTATTATTTATAATGTGTTATAAATGTTATAATTATAAAATAGTATAATGATATGAAACTAAGCATAAAATTTGGAAATATTATTTTCATATAACTGCCTGTTAAAAGAAAAATAATTTGAAAATGTGCGTTATTATTCTTTAAAAGTAAAACAATTTATTATATAGGTATATTGAAACTACAATTTAGAAGAGATTGCTGTAAAAACTAACCCTACTCTAAGTACGCCATACATCGATTTTAACCCAGTTTTTATAAAATATTTTACAATATTCGTATAGTGAACATAAACGTTTTGTTTTTGTAATAGATATGATACTATAAATATACTTAGTATATATATACATAAGGGTTGTTTGCTTATTTATTTTCATGTTATTTTATTAAATTACATATACATTGTAACCTTCAACCAAGTTGTCATTTTCTTATAATAAGTTAGATTTCAATGTTTTTATTTTCGGGGTATTAGACATTATATAAATATTTAGGTATAGGAACAACAATGTTAAAAATGCTTACTATAACATATTCAGGGACAGAGTATTTAAATTATTTACAATATTGTGTCCATGCGCATGTGGTAAAATGAAATAAAAACAAATACCATTTTATAAAATGTAAATTATTAAGATTTTGTTGTTTGTTTATTCTTCACGAAATCTTATTATTATCAGATGATCTGATGGCAATAAAACCGCGTTACGAACTCTTGTTATTGACTTTGTTTTCAGTCGCATTCACAATACGAACGTCGACTGTCGAATATCTATAAAAATGTATCACTAAAGTTGGTTTTATATGACAATAGAGTCACGATAACACTTATATATATATATATATATACCCATTTATTACTAAATCAGTAAGCCGTATAGAATAAGATTACATTTTGAATTTTCGATCGATTCTTTAATTATGTAGTTGTAGGTATATGTAATAAACGTAACATTTACATTTTTATTTTTTATACAAATTTTGTGGAAAGCCATCAGCTGTGATATACATAAAGGATCATTACTTGCAACTTTTAGTTAGGAAAACAAAAACTTAAAGCTACATATTATATTTTGTATGTAGGTACATTTAACAAAATGTAATAACTGTGCCAAGTCTAAAATATTTCAGTAAGATAAAATTAGACGAATATTTGACGAATTACATAATATGTATTATTAGGTATATTTATAACACAACTATTAAACATTTAACTAACTTATTCAGTTATAAATTCCCAATTTTGAAATATTATATTTCTAARTGATACTGATTAAGGTTTTTTAAAGTTTTTACTAAAATATTTTGGTTAAAAAAAAACTTAGCACCAGATGTCGGAGACTTATATCAGCTGTCATCACTGAATGGATTGTTTGTTACAATATGGTCTCTGCGAGAGATATCCGGTTTGGGTCGGAATAGCGATTTATCCTCGAACATAGCTAGGAAATAATATAATATTTAATTTAATTAGTTTACCTAYGAAACTACCGAAATAATTCCAGATAAAACTATAAAAGATATTTAAAGTAAAGAAAAAAATTAATTTACGGTAAAACCTTTTCCTTAATTGATTTCCAGTGCTCTTCAATAGGTAAGTACATATACTAGACGAGCACATTTTTTTTTTTTTTAATGGATATATTTTTCTCTGTTTTAAAAATAATATATCCCAAATTTTGTCAAAAGAGTGATTTGGTTCTAATTAAAACAATATTTTTTAATTTCAGTCTATTATTTTATTATTTTAATCGACTATAATGGGTACTATTAATACTATATTATATATTTAATTTATCCATCACTTAGATTTTCCTCACAGGCATACACGAGTTAATAAAGAGCAAATATCCATATTATAAATAAAAGAATGGTAGAACAATAAGAATATACCTACCGTAAATAAATAATAAACAATTTTTATATTACCWTCTCATAGTAATCAGTTAATCAAAAAAACCATGTTGTATAAATATAATTGGATGTTTCTATCAGTCATATTTTATAATGGTAGAATATAAATTTTTTTTTCTAAAACGGTTGCCAACCACTAATTTATATTACTATTTAYAAAGATTTTTATCGTATTTGTCTTTTCATACACCCAACCTCCGACGATATTATATAAAATAAGTCTTATTATTGATATTCGTCTCTACCAATATTCCATTAAAACTTTGAATTTTACTTAACAGAAATTAATATTTTAGTTTTTATAATATCTACATAAATTAATTCTATGAATTTTATATTTTAAAGGTACACAAAACTACAGAAGCATGTTTTTCCTTACTGTGGTTTAAACTAATAACAACATAAATAAATAATAATGATTCTGGTACGTCTTTAATAAAAATTTCATATTGCCCAAAACCACATTTTAAGAATATATAACATAAAGTTCTAAAAGTAATTATTGAAGGAGATATAWTCTGTGAGACACTATTTATCAATATTATTTAAATAATTTATTTATACTCATTTATAAGTGCGTTTATATATAACGGTGTATTGGAATGTAGACACKTAGTCTACAGTCTATAATATACAGTCATATTTCAATTATTTCATACACCATGTAGTTGCCATTATTTATCACGTTATGTTTTTTACTTGTTTAGTTGTGTCTTGTATTGTTAAGTTATAATATAGCATAATGACAACTCAAATACATAGACATATAGAATTGAATTTAATTGAGTAATGTAA